TGTTTCTAACTCTCTATCCCTCTCCCTTCCTCTCTGTAAAAAATTAATAAAATATTAAAAAAATATATTTAAAAAAAGATAATATAAAATTATCCTATATAATAAAAGGGTAATATGCAAATTGACCCTAATGGTGGAATGACTGGGAAAGACTGGTCGCTATGATGTGCACTGACCACCAGGGGGCAGACGCTCAATGCAGGAGCTGCCTCCTGATGGTCAGTGCACTTCTACAGGGGGAGCACCGCTCAGCCAGAAGCTGACTCATGGCTGGCCAGCGCAGCAGCAGTGCTAAGGATGTCCAACTAATGGCTTAGGCCCACTCCCCGGGGATCGGGCCTAAGCCTACAGGTGGACATCCCCCAAGGACTCCTGGGCTGCTAGAGGGCACAGGCTGGGCTGAGGAACCCCCCCCCCCCCAGTGCATGCATTTTCATGCACCGGGCCTCTAGTATTTCAGTATGTGGCAAAACCAATTGGTTTCTTAATTTTTTTCTTTTGTTAATCTTCACCTGAGGGAGGATATTTTTCCATTGATTTTTTTAGAGAGAATGGAGGGAGGGGAGGAGACAGAGGAAGAGAAACATCAATGTGAGAAAGACACATCAATTGGTTGCCTCCTGCAGGCACCCCGTCCAGGGCCAGGGATCGAGCCTGCAACCAAGGTATGTGCCCTTGACCAGAATTGAACCCAGGACCCTTTAGTCCACAGGCTGACACTCTATCCACTAAGTCAAACCGTCTCACAGCGGTTCTCAACCTGTGGGTCACGAACAATGAAAATACATTCTGCATATCAGATATTTACATTACGAATCATAACAGTAGCAAAATTACAGTTATGAAGTAGCAACGAAATAATTTTATGGAGGAACTGTATGAAAGGGTCACGGCATTAGGAAGGTTGAGAACCACTGTCTAGGGGCTAATTTCTTAATTATTATTACCTAAGGTTTCTCTGTTGCTTTATCTTCTTTAGCTTTTCTAGCTCCTCAGACACATATAGTAGTAAGAGAGTTGGATGGGAAAATTTTGTAGAAGATATTTGGAAGTAACTCACACAAGTCCTGGTATGTAGTAATGGAAGAATTGTTTGACTGAGTATGTACTACTTTGGAATACTTCGCATATTCTTACTAGAACAAACCGTCAGTGGTTGCTTTCTTCTCATATCTTTATCCCTTGCTTTCTGCCTCTTGCTCTCTCTTCTTGATTAACAAAGTGTCTACATTTTTAAAAATATATTTTTATTGATTTTAAAAAAAAGAGAATGGAAGGGAGAGGGAGAGGGAGAGAGAGATAGAAACATTGATGAGAGGGGAACATCATCGACTGGCTGCCTCCTGCATGCCCCCTACTGGGGATCGAGCCCACAACCCAGGCATATGCCCCGACCAGGAATTGAACCAGGGACCTCTTGGTTCCTGGGTCAACGCTCAAGTGTTGAGCCACACAGGCTGGGCAAATGTCTGCATTTTTTATTTCCTGTCTCTCTCTGGTGTAATTACTTCTAATTCATCTTGCAAGCAGGATTGCTCTACATAGCAAAAGTCAGAGAGGGCGGAATTGATTTGAAATGGGATGCCATTGAATTTTACAGTTTATTCAGGGTCATTATTGATAAATGCAAGAGTGGACCTTATGTCTACACAAAGCTCAGAAAACTAGACCAAGAGCAAAAGAGCAGAGGTAAGAAATGGACTCTTACTATTTCACCTTAGTATAAATTATGGTAAGCAGTATTGCCCTAATGACAATGTAACAAAGAGAAAGGTACCAGAAAATTATGTAATCACAGAATGGAATATTAGGATACATTATAATATGCAGTATGGAGAAGAAAAATGGGAGACATGTTGACCGTTAGTGGACTTCCATCAATTAGGATCTAAGAGAAACAGCCAATGAGGAAAATGGTGCAGTTGGCATCACCTCACCTGGATTCCTTTCTCAATGCCAGATCTCATTCTAGTGTTTGAAATGTGAACTCTGAGAGTTAGAATGCCTATGTTCAAATCCATTTTCCACAGTCAGTATTACCTGAGAATCCTTGGACAATTTAGTTAGCCTCTCTGTGCCTCAGTTTCCTTATCTGGGAAATGGAGATAATAATAGCATGCACTTCAGGGTTGCTTAGGAAGAGTAAGTAAGAATAACACATATAACATTTAGAAAAGTGCCTAGCATGTGGTAAATTCTTAAGTATTAATTCCTTTTAATGTTATCTTATTATTTCTTATTCACTGAGTTTGAAATCCGTGGTGGTGTCCTGGCTGAGAAGGATGTGTTCAGGGAGTTTCTGGGCAGACCATTTTGCTCATATTGTGGAAATTTGCTGACAGTGGCTATTTTTCTTTCAGGAAAGCAAGGTTCTCTGCCTGTCTGCCATTCTCATTTATTCAAATCAATGCACTATAATTTGGTCATTCCTAATACATCTTGGATATTCTTGCATTTATAAATTAATTCATTATTAGTGATCACACTTTAGAATATGTCCACTCAGCTGTGAGTATATATTAATAAACTAGAGTTAAATTCAGCATTTACTAACACCCTCTTTTTACAGAACATACATTTCACATTTTGAAAAATACCTATTTGGCCCAGTGCATATTTTTTTCTTTCTCATGACTAACACTCTGCTTTTTTCATTATTCGGTATATATGAGCTGACTAGTAATAAATCTGATAATTTTTTCATTAAAAAAGTTGCGGTTCTCAAACAGTTATTAATGCTCAAAGAGTAGAGAAATGACTAAATCACTTTGGTGAAAGTGTAGGAAAGCAAGGACAAGGACATGATTTAAAAAAAAGTATTCTCAGATAAATCATTCTTCGAGAGACTTAAAAAAACATGTCATGCAAGGCACACCCCTTTGCTTTTATTCCTTTTTTATCATACCAATCTCCCCTGCAAAATTGAGGTTGTTCATAAATATTTTCCTTCCAGGCTGTGGGAAATAAGTCTTGAGTAACTTTGGCTCTTTGATAAAATTAGGTTAGGAGACTGCTTATCATTGAAACAATGAACACAAAAGCAATTCAGTTCTGGGGCCTCTGAAAAACTCCTTAGCAGCCTAGGCAGTGCTCCTGCTCCTTGTTCTCAGGCATTCCAGGGGAGTGGCCAAGGGACAGCCAGCACAAGGCATTTTCAAGGTCCTTTTTTCCCACCCTGTAGAGTTGATAAGTCTCTGATCATTCAGAAAAGGATTTATTTGGCAAGAATCCGAAGTATCCCAAAGAACTATGTTTATCCATAAGAGGCCTGGCTCTCTGTTTAATATAGCCAGAGGGACATTGCTTTTTGGACTCCTGGTCACATCCCCACAGATTTGACCTCATTTAGTGGACACTATTAAAAGATTATCGTATTACTGAGAATTTCCATTGCATCAAATACTAAATATTAGTAACATTCCTCTCTGGGGAAAATGATGTAATAACAGGGCATAGACTAGGTTGACCTCAGGCAAATTACACAGAGGTATGTGGAGATTATGCAACTAATCTGCTCACAACCCCACAGTATAGAGAGAGACTTTCCCAGTAATTCTTGAAGGAAGTGTTCAGGTTCATCTGAAGCCATAGATGGAAGTTTTATTTGAATCTGTTGCCTTGGTACCGAGATCGTTATTTTGAAAGATGCCATGGAGGAGAAAGTGTACATAGAAATGTGGCAGAATGATGGAATGATAGAATGGGAATGGGGTCATGGGCCGGCTAGCTTATGCTCCATTTTGTTGTTTACTTTTACAAATGCGAAACACAGGGTTTTCTTTCCCTTTTTCCACTTTGGAAGCCGAATGATGCTCATAAGAAATTAAGACTGCAGCTGAAGTGCTGCAAGTGATTTGAGAATCAGAACCTTAAGAAATAATTATACCAATGACCTAATTTTTGGAACATTGCCAGAAAAGGTGCTCAAAAGAGCATCTAAGAAAGAGAGGACTGGGAAGACATATTTAGGCTGAACAATTTGATAAACAATCAAAATTAAATATTTAGTTATACTTTTCCTTGAACTTGCTTTTAAAACAATTGATTACATTTTAATTTTTTTAAAAAAATTACACATATAGTACATATCAACAGAAGAAAGTAAAACAGTACAGATATAAGCAAAATAAAAAGGGAAAATCTCCCTCCTTCTTTCCCCTACAAGTGCAAATACTGCTATAACCCTGCTATCCTTTAGACCTTTTAAAACACTGTATGTATTATAAATGTGTTTTGGAGTGGGGGCTAATACTATATGTATTGTTCTGAAAATTTTTTCACTCAAGAATATAGACATATTTCTATTCTCTTAAAAAAAAGGGCAATTGTGTTTTTTAAAATGGTTAATAGTTATTTTAAATAAAGTGAAATGGAAAAGAAGGCAACTTGGCAATTTTGAAACTTAAGTAAGTTTTATATTTGATGTATTTAAAATATTTTTCTTGGTATGAATTACTTACCAACATATTTTATAAGTTACTTGTAAATGATATCATACTAGAGAAAGTGTTCCACCTATCTAGTGGAACATAAGATAGGAGTAGGAAAGCAGCTGAGATATGCTATAGGTGATAAATGTAGATATCATTAGAAAATGTATAGTATAATTACAATTCTATAAAAGGTATGTATACTAGTATGCATAAAAACAGTCTAGTAGTATAGAAACTAAAAGCCAACAGCTGTTATCACAGGATGGTTGAAATATAGGTATTTTTCCTCATTATAGTTTTCTGTATTTTCAACAATGAACTTTTATTACTTTTAGAATTAGTTAAAAAGTAAATGCAATGCATCTGATAAAAAATTTATGTCTAAGTACTACAGAAGCTAAACTCATCTGAATTAACATCCACCCCATCCCCAAATTCCATAGTAACAGAGTAGAAACACTAGGCCCTGGTTTGATTTTCTTAATTTAAGGAATTAGATTTGAGTTCTCTCATTAGAGAAGGCAATCTTTAGCATCATTCAGAGTTGATCAGAAAATGAGACAAAAATCAGGAGATAATATTTCTTTATTACATATTAAAAATTAACAAAGCAATATATATACATATATATTTTGCAAGTCCACAGGACCTCAGGAAAAATATATGTTCTGTATGTGAAATTAATGTTATGGTACTGTGTTTCATGTTTTGTATATTCAAATACAGAAGAAATTATATGTAGAGTGATTATACATGGGTACAAGAAGATGAATAATAATGAAAAGCTGTAATTTTGTGAACTATCACATACATTGTGTCAAAAAAATGAGTAAATACAAATGACCATATACTGTTAATAAAGAAAAGGAGGAAACTGTTTCAATATTCACGTTTAAATACTAAAACACAAAAATAAAACAAATTCTGTGTCTACAAGAATTTTTGAAGTGTATACAGTGCATTGCAAATAAATGAGCTCTTTAAAATTTAAAGTCCATTTCCTCTTTACCAAAGCATATTTTTATACTTATGATTTCTTTCTCTTATTTTAAAGTCTCTTTTTGTTTATAAAAATGTTTCATCATGGCTGATATCTCCGGAATCTAATCTCTAGCCTGAAGCTGAGACTTCATGCAAACATATTCGCCTTTAAGGTTGCATCTTCACATATTTTCTCCAAGTATTCAGAGTCAAAAAGTACAACTTCCTTTATCTGGTCATGTTTGTCCACATTTAGTGGCAGTGCTTCTGTTTCAGTAGGCTTTCTTACACACGCCCTTTTCTTTTTTTGCTGTCAACAGCGTCTCCCAACTCACACAACACAAGTGATAGGTAGTAAAGTGCTTTATACAGAGAAATACTATATAAATGTGGAGAGGTTCCTCTTAACATGCCACAGGCCAAAGTTCACACTCATCACACAAGAAGGCTCTTTTTAAGAGACACCTTTTCTGATAGAAGGGTTGGGATTCCTTAAAATCTTATTAATTACTTTAAGTAGCACAAATGTAAGTAACATATCTGAAGCTGGGAGAAGTCCATGTTATATGTATTGCCCTTAATGGATTATTGTTAAATATCATACTGCTATTAAAATATTCTTAATAGCTATGAATTTTAGAATAAATTCTATAGAAAACAGTTATCAGCATAGATTTTTTTTTCATTTCTCTTTATGAAACAAAGTGTATTTAAACATGGACCCAAAAGAAATAGACAAGGCCCATGCATTGGAACATTTCTATACATTTTGGCACTTAAAAATATTCCAGTTTCATTATTGAGTTCTCCTTTCCATTAAGCTTGTGTTTTATCCATAGAGAAGTGCCATTATGTGCCATACACCTTTATTGCTACTTGCACTCTCTTTTTAAAATATCCATGACTTTTCTTCCAAGAGATGGTTTCCAGCGCTGGACAAAACTTTTCATATTCACAATTAGTTTGCCTGTTCTTACATCCTCATGTCCTGCTACAAGGTACTCCAAACCTAAAAGAGAACAAAAGGAGCTATATAGTATCATAATTTATTGAAGGGGAGATGTGACTTCAGCAATTTTATGTATGCATAGTTAATGGTTTTATATATTCACGGTTGAATTGGGAGTAATCCTATATAATAAAAGCCTAATATGCTAAGTGTCTGGTTGTCCGGTCGGCCATTCAACCAATCAAAGCATAATATGCTAATGATATGCTAAGGCCACTCAACTGCTCGCTATGACGTGCACTGACCAACAGGGGGCAGATTCTCTGACTGGTAGGTTAACTTGCTGCTGGGGTCCGGCCAATCGGGACTGAGGGAGATGGGCCGGACACGCCCTAGAGCCCTCCCGCGGTCCCTCCCCAGCTGGCCAACCTCCTGCATCCCTCCCTGGTCTTGATTGTGTGCACTGGTGGGGTCCCTCAGCTTGGCCTGTGCCCTCTCACAATCCAGGACCCCTCAGGGGATGTTGGAGAGCCAGTTTCGGCTCGATCCCGCAGGCCAGGCCGAGTAGACAATAACAGATGACATGTAAGAATTCATGCAATGGCCCTCAAGTAGACAATAACAGATGGCATGTAAGAAGCATTTATTAAGTGCTTTACATGTATTATCTCATTAATCTTGAAAATAACCTTATAAGTAGGTATTATTTTTCTTCTTGTTTTACAAATGAGGAAATGGAGGCTTGGCATGATCAATAACTTATTCTGTGTCTCTCAGTGGTAGCAGCATTTTGACTTAAGCTCAGGTCTGTCTGATTACAGAACTATTTACTCTGTACTATACCACCCTCTATTGTAAAGAAGTAGGATTCCATGGGCACTTAACACACTTAACACACTGCTATAAATCAGTATTTCTTGGGGACTCACTATGTGTGGTAGTGTATAGTAAGGAGAATTTAATGAAAGTTTAAAAACTATTTGGGAAAACATATCAGAAGAGAGCTATGGGTTATACAAAATAGCACATATTTCCTAGATAAAGTTGATGTGCTTTTGGAATATAGGAGGTTTATTTGTTATAAATTTTAAAAAAGATTTTTTTGTTGTTGTTAATCTTCATCTGAGGATATTTTTCCATTGATTTTTAAGGAGAGTGGAAAAGTGAGGGAAAGACAGAGAGAAACATTGACGTAAGAGAAACACATTGATTGGTTGCTTCCTGCATGAGCCCTGACCAGGGTCCAGGCTGGGGAGGACCCTGCAACCAAGTTATGTGCCCTTGATTGGAATCAAACTCAGGACCCTTTGGTCCACAGGCCGAAGCTCTATCCACTGAACTAAACCAGCTAGGGCTAAAAAAGATATTTTTATTGATTTCAGAGAGGAAGGGAGAGACAGATAGAAACATCAATGATGAGAGAGAATCATTGATTGGCTTCCTGCATGCCCCCTACTGGGGATCGAGCCCACAACCTGGGTATGTACCCTGACAAGGAATTGAACCATGACCTCCTAGTTCATGGCTGAAGCTAAAGCACTGAGTAACACTGGCCAGGCTATTTGTTATACATTTTTTTTAAAAAATGGTGAGCACTGACCAGACCTAGAGCTGACTTTGTAATTCAAAATTCTTCTCAGGCTAACAAACACATACATAAAAGATATATATGTTAATAAAAAGAAATATAATATCCCTCAGTAGATATTTGTAGTAATTTGTAGTATTTTTCATTAATATTATACACTGAGTGGCCAGATTATTATGACCACCCTATCAGTACAATGAAGTGAATTAGTTATGCAAATAATAATAATAATAATAAAACCTTGAGAGTATTTGCTTAGGAAGTTTTCAATATTCAGTATTTTTGGAAGTGTCAATGAAGTACTGATGGGGTGGTCATAACAATCTGGCTGGTCATAATAATCTGGCCACTCAGTGTAGAACACAGCAAATAAGTAATCATGTTTATAAAATAAAAATTTCCAACCCAGCCAGCATGGCATAGTGGTTGAGGTCTATCTATGAACCAGGAGGTCACGGTTCAATATCCAGTCAGGGCATATGCTCGTGTTGCAGGCTTGATCCCCAGAAGGGGGCGTGCAGGAGGCAGCCAATTGATGTTTTTCTCTCATCAATGTTTCTATCTCTCTAAAATCAATAAAAATATATTTAAAAAACCCACAATCTCAGCTCTAGCTGGTTTGACTCAAGTGGATAGAGCATCGGCCTGTGGACTGAAAGGTCCCCGGTTCGATTCTGGTCAAGGGCATGTGCCCGGGTTGCAAGTTCAATCCCCAGTAGGGGGCATGCAGGAGGCAGCCAATCAATGATTTGCTCTCATCATTGATGTTTCTATCTCTCTCTCCCTCTCCCTTCTTCTCGGAAGTCAATAAAACAAATAAAGAAACCTCAAATTAAGGGAAAATACTAGATGTTAAAGCTCAATTGAAAATTTCAATTTAAACTCACGGTTTTAAAATATATATGTATACTTGTTTATTCACGGAAATAACCTAGAAAAATGTCATTCAGTGAAATTATTGGTTCAGGAAGGGATTACCAATTGGTGTTAAAATCATTAAATGAATGGTTAACGGGACACGTGATATTTGTATAGTGATTAAGTAACACCACATGCATTATTTTTTAATCTCAAAAGGAAAAACAACTCTGGTCAGTGGCTCAGTTAGTTGAGTGTGGTCCCATGTACCAAAAGGTTGTCAGTTTGGTTCCCAGTCAGGGCATATACCCAGGTTGCAGGTTCCATCCCCATCAGGGTACGCACTGGAGGCAACCATCAATGTTTCTCTCTCATATCGATGTTTCTATTCCTCCCTCTTCCTTACTTTCTCTAAAATCAATAAAAAACTTTTTTTTTAAAGGGAAAACAAAAAAGCCCAATGGAGAGATCAGACTGTTATCACTCTAACTCAAGTGTCAGTTTAGCAACACTGATGGTGGGTCATCAGGTCCTATGTGTCTTCTGATGTTATTTGACACAAAGTACCCAACATGAAGTATATAACACAAAGTGTAATGAATTCAAGCCAAAATGTTTATCTTGATTCTATCAAGCTTGTCTTTAAAGGTTACAGAAAATATTGGAGGTATAGGGACAAGCTAAATGACACCACAAGGAACCAACTAGACAAATGTAGAAGGGTAGGGTAGTCTCCAGGACAGCTGGTCTGGTTTCTTAAACAATAACAGTTTTTTCAACAACAATAAAAGGAAACTGTACTTGAATAAAAGAGACTTGAGGGATTTAAAAACCAGATAGTATGTGATCCTGGCAAGGATAAACCACCTCAAAAGGACATTTTGGGATTTGTTGAGAAATCATAATATGGTCTGAGTATTAGATTATATGAAAATAAACTAAAATTGAAGATAAAGATCATTAACTGAATAAAGTGGGCTACATATATTATGATTTTATTTTGGTTAAAAATATGACATGTATGTGTACAAAGAAAGATCTGGAAGGATTTTCATTAAGATATTAACAGAGATTATCTCTGGAGGGCAGAAATGTGAAATTTAAAAATTTCCCCTAAATTTCTATATCTGTAATGTATCTATATATTGCTTCTATAACAATAAAAGGCTTATTTTAGAAGTTTATTAAAACAAGTCAATCCTAAGTAAAAGATAGCTATGATGGTGTTTTCACAAAAGGAGAGATAAAAGGAAAATAATGACATAGAAAGGTTTAGACATTGGGGAGCACAAATGTATGAGGGATTATAAAGTATTTAAATTCTTTAAAGGGTTACCTTAGCTTTTGCATGAGAAAGAATCCCAATCCTGTAGGACACTCAACCAACTGAGCCACACTGGTCAGGGCTTAAGTGCTAGTTTTGACATTCGAAAACATATAGGAATGGATGACTTTGCAGGTATGCCTAATTAGTTTGCTCTTTTTCCAAAGTAGCAAAGGAAGCAAGTTGGCCTGTTAAGGTTTCAGAATTTTCTTATCAGCTTTCTTTGCCCTTAGCTATTGAACTTGTAAAAATGGAAAAACAAAGTGAAATGAAAGAGTGTCTGGTTTTGCTTTGGCAAGTTCCAGTCTTTTCTTCAAAGTGAGTAAACATGTTTTCAAGAATTCTTTGAATAATTGTGCTTATGTTTTCAATTGTGATGAACTCAGTTGATTCCTTGACTGTTTGGCAGAAATCTGATTAGGAAGTATAGTTCACTTCCTGGAGAGTGGCTCAGATGGTCAAAGCTTTTGTTTTTAACGTCTGGCTAACAAACGGAGCGGATTTTTTTCTTCTTTTGCCAAGATAGTAGAAAGTGCTTATAGGAAGAGCCCCTGTGCCTCAATTGTTGGGAAATAGGACACAGATTAATGACTCTTCCTTTCCTGTATTAAAAAATCCAAGATTCTGATTACTTAATTTGTTCTTTGAAATGATATTTATTTATTTATTTAAAATGTTTTCTTTTTCCATTTTTAAAAATTTAAATTAATTTGAATGAAATACTGAAGGCGTAAAAAGGGTGTGAGCGTCTATTTAACAGTAGAAATAAAGTCAAGAATTGTATATCATTGTTTAGATGGTTTGGGTTGAGGTAGATATTTTATTGATAGTTTCTCTCTCTCAGTTATCTGTTTGTTTCCCTCAAATTTTTGTGTCAAAGATCACAAACGACTTCTTATTACTATAACTGGTTTCCTGGACTTATATTTGGAAGGGATTATATCCAGAAGAGAAATTATGCACTTGTTTCAACAGTGCCGTTGAGACACAGAAGGCAACTACACAAATGGAAATACAGAGAATTAAAAAAAAAAATTTGATGGCTGGTGTGGCTCAGTTGGTTGAGCGTTGTCCTGTGCATCGAAAGGTTGCTGGTTCGATTTCCAGTTGGGGCACATGCCCAGGTTGTGGATTCAGTCCCCGGTAGGGGTGCAGAAGGGAGGAAACCAACTAATTGATGTCTCTCTTTCTCTTCCCTCTGTGTCTAAAAACATTTAAAATCAATAAAAATATTTTAAAAATCAATAAAAACATATTTTAAAAGTTATTTGTGCTCTGTCCAGTGCTGCTCAGTGGTTAGAGAGTGTCAGCCATTGCACCAAAGGTCTTGGGTTCAAGACCTGGTTAAGGGTTGCAGGTTTGATCCCCAATTGACATGTCTCTCTTATATTGATGTTTCTCTCTCCCTCTTCCTCCCTCCCCTCACCCTTCCTTTTCACTCTGTCTAAAAATTAATAGAAAAATATCCTGGGATGAGGATTAACACCAACAACAAAAAGTTATTTGTTTTTCTAGAACTTAATATTTGGAAACTATGTTACTATTATTTAGGTACTAATGGTAGGCAATGGGGACACCATGATCAAAAATCTAAATCTTGTCCTCAAACTTAATGAGGGAGACAGTAAAAAAAGCAGTTTATGACACAGTATGACGAGTGTACTTATAGAGTGTAAAGGTATGAATCCCTGCAAATTCCACTGCACTTCAAGTTTCTCTAAGATTCTACAAGGCTTGTTTGTTTATTTGTTTGCTTGCTTGTTTATTTCTGTTGTTTCTAGTTTAAAACCAGAATGATCATTTAATGAAAAATAAGATGCTAACTTGAGAGTTGTTTTCTATCCAGGAGAAACAGATGCTTCTCATGCAATAGTAAAAATGAATTCAATATTATTTGCACAGATGGAATTTTGCATTTGAACTTCCTTTGGGAGCAAGTTCTACCCAGGGAATCGTAATAGGACCTAGCTTTCAGATAAAGTGTTAGTGGCAGATAAATTCATGAAAGTGTTTTCTATGCTACTGACACCTGGAACCAATCTGAGACTTCTCTTTTAGGGCAAAGAATATTATATTGCTGGATTTTAAAGTATTATACTTTAATACAGCACCTGGAAGAGAAATCGTTTTTTGATGTCAGTTCAAAGAATTCCATTTGGGCTTTCCCCAGACTTCAGATGTGAAAAGGAGAGATGCTCTTTGCAGAGTTTATTTAGGTTGTGGTTCAGAGACTGTAAGACAAACAGCAATTCAGCAGAGAGAAAGTAGAAAAAAATCTAATGCTCACCAGGATTGAGGATTGGACAAGTACAGCCTCTGTTAGTCCATGATTCTGGATATAATGTTCGCTTTCCTCGTAAAATTTTCAATTTGGTAGATTTTAAGACTTTTTTAATCTTCACACTGACCTCAGCATGAGATCCTTTATCATGAGCTGATAAAATCTTTATTTTTAGCACTGTAACAACACAATTCCCAAAGTCAAAATGCATAAAATTTCATATCATCTTTTGAGGTTTGAACAACAACTTAAATATGCACTTCAGAGTATAATGGAAAAGTGAATTAATGATGTATCATTAGGCTCAGCAATTTGCTACTGGCTTCATCTAATTTATATCAACTATACTCTTCCTTCTTAGACATTTACAACTGCTACCCATTCCCATATCACTACCCTAAAAGAATATCGCCATTTGCCTACTGCAAGTATAATCTTAAACACATTCAGCTATCAACTAAATAGAAAGATGTGTAGGAGGTAGAATTGTTGTCCTGGTTTTTATTTAGATTCTAATTATATTATACTCTTCTGGTTGATTATGTATAAACTTATGACAAAGAGCAAATGTTACTACCAGCGTATATTTTAAGCATTCTAAAGAGATTAAATAATATTATTGATTATTTAATCTTCTTCCTCTGGTGTAAAATGCAAGCTGACTGGGGTTAGGGAGGCTGTCCTTCTATATGATGGCAGAGCTCCAGTATTTTATATGACTCATGATTCCATTATGCTCTAAGATCTATGACATAGATGGGGGAGGTGTTAAGTAATGGAATAAGTTGGGGTGGGGGAGAAAGTAAACCTAAGGAACAGTGGATGCAATATTCTATATTATTAGAGAGTTCTTACTAGCTCATCTATATTTTGATGAAAGATTGTGTGTAATGAGAGAACCCTATCCTGGCTGGTTCCATATCCATACGACTAGAGAGCTGTCTTTTTAGAATCACCAAATTTTAGACTTTGAAGGGGTCTTAAGAGCTCATCCAGTTTTGTTTTATGTATGAGGAAGCAAGTTTTAAGAAGTTAAGTGAACTGCTCATGTTTGCATGATTTGTTGGTTAGAGGTAGAGTTTGGACCAGAGTCCTGATGGGATAATTGCATGAAGGGTACATAGCATAGTGCCTCACACATAGCCAATGCTCAAGGGCTATTTTTGGTATTTTGGGGTATTTTTTCACTAGACTGCAAACTCAGGGAATTTGTCTATTCACAACAATAGCTCAATAAATATTTGCTAAAGGAATGATCAAATCAAGTTTTCCCCCATTAAGGTAGAGAATGTGGTGGAACCATTCCTTGGCGCCACCCCCCCCCCCCCAAGACTATAGGTGTATAGTACTTAATAAGATCAAGGTATTTCGTTACATCATTAAGAGCATTCAAATTCTCCTAAGCAGAAAGTAATACAGTTGTATTAAAAGATGCCAATGTGGTTGTTTGTAAATTCAGTCAGAGAGCTACTGAGTCTATGTGATAATGAAAACCAATTGATATTTCCACTGAACTGACTGACTTTGAACTAAATGGTCTTTTTGTTGTTGTTGCTTTTGATAGTAAATACAATTCCCTCTAAGTAAATACTTTTCCTTATTAGGCACTATATATTTCAAAAGTTTTATTCTATTATTTAGTCAAGTTGGCCGATGAAAGGGGAGAAATATGCATGTAATTTTAGATAAGATTTATGAGGTTTTTAACATTTACTTTTTTATCTCTTATGAGATTAAATACAATGTTATCAAGAATCTAAACACTTGGTTTTAGAAATCATGACTTAAAATTTTCTCTTCATTGTAATGCATATTTCAGGCCCTATAAGTTATGGAACAATAAAAAGCCCAGACACTAGTCAAGAATATGTTGGCAAGCCCTAGCCTGTTTGGCTCACTGGATATAGCATTGACCTGTGTCCTGGGTTTGATTCCAGTTATAAGGGCATATGCCCGGGTTGCAGGCTTGGGTTGTGGGCTCAATCCCCAGTAGCGGGTGTTTGTTTGTTTGTTTCTTTTTTTTTTTCATTTCAGAGAGGAAGGGAGAAGGAAAGAGAAATAGAAACATCAATGATGAGAGAGAATCATTGATTGGCTGCTTCCTGCATGCCCCCCAACCCCCACTGGGGATTGAGCCCACAACCCGGGCATATGCCCTGACCAGGTATCGAACCATGACCTCCTGGTTCATAGGTCGGCGCTCAACCACTGAGCCATGCCAGCCGGGCTCATCACTGATGTTTCTATCTCTCTCTCCTCTCCCTTCCTCTCTGAAATCAATAAGAAAAAATAAAATAAAAAGAATAAGTTGGCAAGATCAGATATCCTTAATATTTAATATTTATATTTATATTTAATATTTAATGGTAAACATAAAGTTGTTTAGAATAGAAGGTAGTAACAGTCTGTATTTAGGGTAGTGACATTTTCTTTATATGCTGCATTTTCCTGGTATTTGAAAGATAGAGAAACATAGAATATACATAGAAAGCAGAGGAAAAACTCAGGCAGTCAGCTCATCTCAGAATATATATCCTCTTACTCCTCAGAAATATACCATTTACTGAGCATCTAGTAAGTGCAAATTAATGTGCTTTTCAAAAATCTCATTTCATGGGGAAGGTGGCATCATCTCTATTTTACAGATGAGGACGTCTGTAGAAGTTAAGTTACCCATCTCATAAACTAGAAATGAAACCCATATAGGTCTGAACCCAATGTCTGAGCTCTTGAAATACTGCTCCAAATTGAGTTCTGCTTTATATTACCTGATAAACTGCTATAGGAATTGTCCAAGTGGCTAGAGACTTCCCTTTTAGATTACCAAAACAGGAAGCATCCATAAGAAAGGATTATGTGTCATTTTTTTTCTTTTTGTTCTTTGCTTCTTCTCCTTATAATATGATAACCTTGCCTTTGCTCTATAAGCCTCCTGCCCTCACCAGGGCATTCCACACTATCTCTATTAGGAAAATCAAGGCCAAGACCAGAATACTGTACTTAATATCCTATATAATAAAAGCCTAATATGCTAAGTGTCCGGTCGTCTGGTCGGCCATTCAACCAATCAAAGCATAATATGCTAATGATATGCTAAGGCCACGCAACTGCTCACTATGATGTGCACTGACCACCAGGGGACAGACAGGCGACCAGTCGCTATGACGTGCATTGACCACCAGGGGGCAGACGCTCTGACCTGTAGGTTAGCTTGCTACTGGGACAGAGCAAGACAGGCCAGACACACCCTGGCACCCTCCCGCGGTCCCTCCCCGGCTGGCCAATTTCCCATGCTCCTCCCCGGCCCTGATTGTGCACCAGTTAGGTCCCTCGGCCTGGCCTGTGCCCTCTTGCAATCTGGGCTGAGGGACCCCCCGAGTGCATGAATTTTGTGCACTGGGCCTCTAGTTATTATATAAGACTAATGTTTTAACATATTGAGAATGTCACATGCCAGGCCTCCCATTTTCTAAGAAACTCTTCATGCTTAGTTTGAATAGACTCTCAGAAACATTTAAGGACTTTAGACTCACCATATGAATATTTCATTCCACAGAATGCCTTGGAGTTTCCTAAAACCTGTTCCTTACATTCACATTTACCTACAGAAATAAAATGAGAAATGATGTTAGTTAGAAACAGAGAGAAGAAAAACCATCAAGTAAATCCAGGTAACATAACTCTTTAAGACTTGAGTGATTCATACAACATCATCCACAGATATTAAGAAACCATGAAAAGCCATTCAGGAGAAATAGTCACTGCCTTGGCCTGTGTGGCTCAGTTGGTTGAGCATTGACCCCTGCATGGAAATGTTACTGGTTTTATTTGGGTAGGGCACATGCCCGGGGCATGCAGGAGGCAGCTAATTGATATTTCTCTCTCTCCCTCTCCCTTCCCCTCTCTCTCTAAAATCAATAAAAATATATTAAAAAGAGAGAAATAGTCACTCTCTGAAAAAATTCGTTGTTATCCAGTGAAGTATTGACCTAAGAGAAATACAGAAATGTAGAAATACTGATATATTTTAATGCTTGCAATTGATGAGATAAATATAGTCCATGCTAATGGAATGGAACAACTAATAGATAACCTATAGAAAAACAATTATATTTTTATAATTAATGTTCACCACCACCACAAAAGTCAAATGAAATAAAATAGTTGGGCAGTTCTTTGAAGGTAATGCCATGAAATTAAAATAATTTATTGAGCTCCTATTGTAAGCAGGACATGGTGCTATAAACTTCAGAGTATATAAATATGAGCAAGGCATGATTCTTGCCTTAAGAAGTGCAATTCAGTAAGGTGAATAAAGCAAATATATTAACAGTGATAAGTGTTCTAAGATGGGTACAATATTCTTGGTTGGGAGGTCACATGTTTGAGGAGATGGAAAAGGCTTCAGGCTGAAGAAGGATTTGAAATGGACTTTGATGAATAAGTAGGATGTTTTTTATGAACAATTAAAATTATGTATTGCAATTATGTGTGAGAGATTTGCCAGACCCTGTGGAAGACTTTCAAAATGCCTTTGTACATAGTCTATGTATGGCATTCTCATATTTATGTATCTGTTTCCTCTCTATACCGTAATCCTTGAGGACAGTGGTTATGTCTTACTAGTATTCATCTTTATATTCCTAAAACCAGAATGGATAGGATTTTCATTCTTACTGATTTCTCACAAATAGATATAATTTTACCCCTTCCCTCATTCATCCCCTCTTGCCCTCATGTATTGCATTTCATAAGCATTGAGTGGTAATAACAGCAGGTAGCATTTACTGAGGAGAACTTACTATGTAAGGTACTATTGTAAATGTTTTACATTTATTTACTCATATAAGATTCTAACATATAGAAATTTGACAGGAATATAGAGATAAAAGGGTGAGCAAAAAAAATGTTAAGGGAGAAAGGGCAGAGTGTGTTCATGGAAGAGTCAGTGGTTCTGTTTATCTTGGGTACAGATTGAGTAGAGAATAATAGATGGTATCATGGAGGACCTTGACTGATATGCAGTTAAGGCCTGAATTTAATTTGTTAGCTAAACAAATTAAAGAAGTTATTTGAATTTTAAAAATATATATGAAAATTAATTTGGCATTATATCAAAAATATTAGAATGGAGAGAAAATGAAGGCAGAACCAATGAGAAGCTAGTGAAATTGATGATAACAACAGTAATTAATTTGAGTGCCAGGTATAGGCCATAAACTATATAAGGAGAGTAGGATTCTGGTGAGACACATAGTGATATTGACTAATTGGCTCTAAAGCTTCGCTAGGAATCAGGGAATGAGATTTGCAAGTGGCAAATCACACTGGAATTAAATAGTGAGAAAGAGAAATCAAAGGTGCTTATAATGAGCTGTTGTGATTTGTTAAATAATATTGCTTTTAATCTAAAACTAGCAGAGAGGATTACTCATTCAGAAATTATAGTAACTTAAGTGAACAGCCCACAGCTTTTGATAATTCCACCAAAGCAGGACAGTATAAGTACCATGTTATAAAACCTAAAAGAATTCCAAATGGCATATATTATTCCTCAACATAATGTTCTTCTCCTTAGTCCTTCAGCCTATCTATATATATAAAGCCCTAATATGCAAATAGACCGAGCGGTGGGACAGCCGAACAACTGGTCGCTATGATGTGCACTGACCACCAGGGGGTGCGTGCGGAACATGGCGGACGTTGGCAGCAGGTGGCAGAGCGTGGAGCATGGTAGGCATCTGCCGTGGCGGGATGGTGGAGCAGGTGAGTGGGGGCGCCAGGCCAAGGCAGGGCGCTGGTTGCTGTCATCAGGGTGAGCCTCTGGTGGTTACTGAAAATTCTTTTCTCCCATGCACCGTGGTCCCACTGGGCGCTCACACCTGCTGCCAGTGCCATCCCGCTCACATCCACTGCTGGCGCCTGGCACAGGCCCCGATTGCTTGGCACTGTCAGTGTGTGTGAGTGGCAGCTGCGTGGCCTCGATTGCCCCTCAGGGTTTTCCACCTCCCCTGCTCCTAAGGGACATCAGGGCGACAGCTGCCTCTTGTACCCGCTGCTGGTGATGGCCCGCTT